TTACCATCTTGTTTCCTACATATTATATCTAAAAAATAGGACATGAAGAATGTAAATTTTCCTTAAATCACACTTATGTTGTTAGGAAGTTCATTTACCCCAATCCTGTTGCAATCTTATTTAACTAGAACTATTCCGAATTGAATGTTGTGGCCTTCTGTTTATGCCAGCAGATTCTCTGCCAGTTCAGTTCAATTTTCAGAAAACCTTGACTGCTTGTGTGACAGGTGACAGACATTGCTGAGGCAGTTTCCCTCCAGCATGTCTTGCTATTATAGAATAGCTATTTTCTTGGTTTGTTTTATATATATGAATTAGTTTGTGTTTTGTAGTAATAACACAGAGAAGAAGGCATAGAATTATCTGACTGAAATAAAAAAAGTCTATTCATGGATGGTGTGTGGACTTAATACTCATTTTCTTAATACCTCAGGAAGACTAAAGAAAGATTCATGAACTTTCTTAAATTAGAAAGTGTGGTCTGAGCTCTAGTCATTGCTAAATGGAGTTGATGACAGTTTCTTTGTACTGTTTTATAATCCTCCTGGGCTGATTTTTACCATTAGTCCTGGGAAGCAGCATGGCAGAATGGAAAGAATTTATGCTTTAAATTCAGTTATGGTTTAAATCAGTTATATTTGGGATCTGCTATTTGCTACCATTATGGCCATGGAGGGGGTTATTTAATCTTTGTGAGTCCTAATTTCTTTAGCTGTCTGGTTGTGAAGACCAGAGGTTAGGTACAAAGATCCTAGTGTGCTGTGCTGGGTATTAGAAATTCAGCATACAGACTTTAGTGTGGCATCTTGTATTAAATGGGTGCTTAATAAATGATAATTATTATATATGTATGCATACCACTTTTATTCTTTGTTATATTTCAGTTTCATCTTTTTTGTTGTATGTTTTTAAAACCATGTAATTTAAAATGTAAATGTAGTTATGGATTTGTTCATCTTTTTGACTTAAGTGTGCATTTGGGATAATTTGAGTTTAGAAATATTTTAAAGGTTTGCATCAAAATTTTGAAATCATTAGATAAGGAATTTTGAGTCTTAGAGATAATGTGTCAGAAATTGGGACAAGAGCACTTGCTAAGTGGGAGGCCCTGAGTTCAAGCTCCAGTACAGTTAAAAAAAAAAAAAAGAAAGAAAGAAATCGAGAAACAGAACTTGGAGTGGAATTGATTTATTTTATTTATTTGGAGCCAGGGTCTCACTACATAGCCCAGGCCAGCCTCCCTTAAACTTGTAATCCTCCTACTTCAGCCCTCCAAGAGCTGGGATTATATGAATGTACTACTATGCCTAGCCTTGATTTTTTTTTTAAAACATGGTCATAGTATATGAAAACATTTTAATCTAATTGGATTTTTTTCTATTAATATTTCAGTACCATTAAATTGTCTTTCCTCTTATCAAACATTAACTCAGAATTTAAAGCTAAGTCTTCATATAGCCATTTTACACTTGTTATCTCTGTTGGGCTCGATTGATATTTCATTGTTAAGTTTGCCAATGAAGACTGGTATAATGATACTTAATTTTAGCTTTCTAAATTGTTTTAAGAGAGTTGAGGACATATTTCAGTTCTTTTGGCTGAATTAGTTATGAAATGATTAGGTTTGTAGCCTTGCTGTTATGTCACTTGCTAGAAAATTTGTAAAGAGGTGGCGTAGAACAGGTGGCAGTGGACTCCCTCTGTTCCTGAGACTGTAGTGGTACTGATAGGAAGTTAGTGGAAGTGCCAGGATTAGGAAACTGTTCTGAATCAAAGCAAGTAATTTGTCTGCTGAGTGTGTCACATGAAAGTGGTCTAGTGAGTTTTTGCTTTGCAGAGATTTTCTTGAGGACTGGTACATCTGGTGTTTAAAATACCTGCTATATCTTAATTTTCTAACTCTCTCAGTGTGGTTAAATGTCATTATTAGTGATGCACATTGATCATTGTTTTGTATTCTTTCTTTTTCTCCTTCCTCTCCCAAATTCCTTAGGCACAGAACACTAACTTAGGTGATAATGGATCTTCTAGTTTTTCTGATTTCAGCTGCCCCTTTCTGTTCTTTTTATTTAGTTTTTTTCTTTGACGTTCAATAGTTGATTTTGGGCTTTCTGATTGAAACACATAGACATTACTTTTATTTGAAGAAACAAAGGAATTTGTATGGTAGAAAAATAGCAGAAGGTGTGGACAAGTCAAGGTGCAACAAATAATAGTAGCACTGCTACTAGCGTCTGTGTTTTTGCTGTGTCCAGACACTGTCCTAAGAGCTCCCTCTAGTTTTCCCTTGGTATCTGAAAGATTGGTTCTAAGGTCTGTCTGCAGATAACCACATGTAACCTCTGCTTGTCCTTCTGTGTATTGGAAATCACCCCTAGATTACTTATGCCTAATGCAGGGTAAATGTTTTCTAAGTAGATGTGATAGACACTATATTGCTTAGGTAATAGGGACAAGAAAAAACATCTATACATGTTTAGCGCAGACACAATTATTTTCCTCAATATTTTTGATGTGCAGTTGGTTGAATGCAGGTACGTAGAAACCACAGATATCGAGGGAGGGCTGACTGTGTACTAACTCATTTAATTAACAATCCAATGAGTAAATACTATTATCTTAATTTTATAGGTCAGACAACTGCAGGTCAGAGTTTGAGTAACTTGATAGGTACTTGATACTGACCACTAGTAAACAAAGAGCTGAGATTCAAGCCCAGGAAGGCTGGCCCTGAATTATAACTCTGTTCAATTATGTCATAATCATTTCCTTCCAGCAGAACAAGGACTATAAATTAGTACAAGGACATACCCTTCCATTAAGTTGGCAGGTATTTTAAAAGATATGCAATTTGGGAGGGGATTATTTGTTTTGTGGACTAGCGATTGTAAAGCAGCCGTGGAACCCTCATCGTGAATCTTTCTGATGGGGAGTGCTGCGTAAACAATCTCCCAGTGAGGTAATCAGGAAAAACAGTGCTCGAGGATGCTTACCAATTGGAATTACTAAAATAGTGGAAAAAACAGAAGATCGCCTAGTTCTTGTGGGGTGGTTGAATTATATTTTCTAGAACAGAGGATAGAATATTATGCAAACATAAAATTGTTTTTGAAGAATAATTAGAAATACAAAAAAATTATAATAAGTGAAAAAGCAGGATATAAAGTCATCAGTTTGGTTTCAACTGTAAAAAATGTGTGTGTATGGAAACAGAAGAACATACAGTAAGATGCTAATAATTCCTTCTGGTCTGGGAAGAGTGTATTATTCAGGACTCTAGGCGAGTGTTCTCTCACTGAACTGCATCCCAGCCAGTCCAGCACTTTTTACGCTAGCTCTGTGGTACTTTACATTCAAAGGAAATCGAGTGGCTTAATAGTGAAAGCCAGAATGATGCTAGTAGCAGGCTTCGTGAAGAAGAGTAAAAGAGGAGATGTTCATCTCTCACAGTATAAAGAACACATTACTGAGTTTCAGACAGTTTTAGTTTGATTATGATTTTTGTGATCTTACTGTGGAAGCGAAACTGCTTTGTGGGTTAAGAAAGGTGATTTTTTTCCTTTTTAAATATGGCCATTGTGGTTGACTGCTTTTGCTTCAGTTATGTTGGTAGAAGAAATGGTTATTTTTTTTATCCCATGGTACGTCTTTTTGTTAAAAATGATTGACTTTGTGGGAGAGAAGGTGAGTGAGTAAGGATGGAATGCCAGGCGTATGGGCTATTTGCTACATCCAGTCAGCTTTACTCTCAGCTGTGGCTAGATAGTTGTTTATAGCTACTTAAGGAATTCACCTTTCGTTTGCATTGGAATATCTTTGAAATTTAGTTCCTTAAACTTAAGCTTTAAGAAATCTTCAAATATTAACCCATGTAACAGAACAAAGTTCCGCTTCTGTTCTGTGCTTGTTTAAAGTTGTGTTTTAAAAACAAAAGACCAATTCTACATTAGGAAGTTGTTACTGAAGACAAGCTTTTTTTGTGTGCTGTATGTTAAGTAACACAAATAAATTGCTGATAACTGCATGAGTTTTGTTAGCAGCTTCTTCCTTAGTAGCCTTTTGGCATTGGTGATGAAGCACTGTGCTTCTGCATGCTTTCTGCCTCCCTGATGAAGAAGGATTTAAACTGTGGTTTCTGAATGGGAAGAAATTGGGAAAAGGCTTTGAAAGAAATTATTTCACTTCTACAGGTTGAGTGTCCTTTATCTGAAATGATTGGGACCAGAAGCGTTTTCAGATTTTGGACTGTTTGCATACACTTTATTGGCTCAGCATCCTTAATCTGAAGAGCTGTTTATGAAATGCTTTTGAGGTTTGGATTTTTAAATTTTTTGGAGTTTGGATTTTGGGATTAAGGATGCTCAACCTATAACACAGGTTTTAAAATTCTTACTTCATTTTTAAATGTAATTTATGAGCTGAAGAAGAAATACTTTCTTTTTGTTGGCATTGGAGTTTGAAGTCAGGGCCTTGTACTTGGTTAGGCAAGTGTAATACCACTTAAGCCATGCCTCTGACTCTTTTTACTTTAGTTATTTTGCAAATAGGGTCTCGGATTGATGCTCTGGCTGGCAGTCCTCCTATTTATGCTTTCCATGTAGCTGGGATGACAGGAGTGCACCACTGTACCCAGCTATTGATTGAGATGGGGTCTTGTGAAGTTTTTGCCTGGTATAGGCATAAGCCACCATGCATGGTTATGCAGGGATTTTATAGTAAATGTTCAGGCAAATAAAGTGGTTCAGCAGCAACTAGTGATTTTCAGCTTGTTTTATTTATTTAAAATAAAGAGCTATGTAGAAATCATGATAGAAATTATTCCCAACCCCTGAAATTGAGGAGGGCTGACATATATTCTTCATTAGAAGAAGTCTTACACTGTTAAGTTTAGTATAAATATTTCTTTTAGTAAGTTTGCTTTTCTTGGAAGCTTGTTTTTAGTAGTCTAAAGTAAAAAGTAAAAAAAAAAAATCAAAACTATTGCATTTTCTTTTTTCCAGGCTGAACTCACAGGAATCAAATGGCGTAGGTACAATTTTGGAGGGCATGGGGACTGTGGACCCATAATTTCAGCCCCAGCCCAAGATGATCCAATCCTGTTAAGCTTCATCCGCTGTCTGCAAGCCAACCTGCTGTGTGTATGGCGTCGTGATGTCAAACCAGATTGCAAAGAATTATGGATATTTTGGTGGGGAGACGAACCCAACCTAGTGGGCGTAATACATCATGAACTGCAGGGTAAGGATCTTGATTTCTCTTAAAAATTTCCACATCTTTTGGGAGTTGGTAAATTCTGAAAAGGTTAAGACTTGCTTTAACAAATGTTCCCAAGTGTTTAATAAGCGTGTATCAGCACAAGAAACACCCTCACGCTCACCTCTTTTCCCCTCCTCTCCACCCCCTTTTTCTTTAATTTTCTTGTCCTTTCTCAGTCATGCTGAGAATTAGAACCTTGTAAAATCACAACTGTTAAAGGAAAGTGTTTGTGTCCCCTCGGTGTGTGTGATGGAAACAAGGCTATTTGATCTACTGTTTGCAGATAATAGTGAATTGCGCAATTAGCAGGACAGTGAAATGAACAGAATTGTTTTTGTTTTGTGGATGGTGGCTGTTGTAGTTCATTGCCAGTTGAACTTTTTGGTGGAAAATTGAAAAGTTATGCAGAAATTTATTGCAAGTCTTATTAGACACAATCATGAGATGGCATTAGGTTGTGTTTTAGAGAAAGATTACGTACCATAAAGAATTTTCGCAAATTTCCCCCTTGCGTGTTCTTCCTACATTCTGTGTAATTCAGTGTTGACAAGATATATTGGCTCTAGTGCTGACTAATTTTTAACTTCAGATTGTATCTGAAAATTTTGAATTGTATGGGTTTCATTATTTTAAGGTGCTTTTTATATTTATCATACATTTATAACCAGAGGAAATTTTATCAAGTCCTTGGTTTTCTGGCAAGCGTTTTTACCCTTTTACCCAACAGTTTCTATGTAATATGCGATGGGATTTTTCTAAGTCAAGACTAATTCCAATCCTTATTTCAGTTTTGGGTTTTTGAGCCAGGAATCTTACAGTGTAGCTCAGGCTGACCTGGACCTGGCCATTGTCCTGCTGCAGCTTCCCGAATGCCTGTACCACCGTGCCCAGCTTTAATTCCCATCTTCAGCTACTGCTTAACTTGTCTCAGTTTCCCACAGTCAACTTTTATCATCTCTGTTAATGTATGTTTAAAAATTTTCAAGTAGTGTTTAATTTATTAAGGTTTTTTTTTTTTTTTTTTTTGTGTGTGTGTGTGTGTGTGTGTGTGTGTGGTACTGCGGTTTGAACTCAAGGCTTTTCACACTTACTACTGCTTGAACCACCCTGTAGCCCTTTTTGCTCTGGTTATTTTGGAGATAGGCGGACTGGCTCCTGATCCCTCTATTTGAGGCTTCCCCCGTTGCTAGGACGACTGCTGGGTACCACTACACTCAGCATTTTTCAGTTGAGGTGTGTGTGTGTGTGGAGGTCTCCCGAACTTTTTTTGCCCTGGCTGGCTAGGAACTGAGATCCTCTCAATCTCAGCTCCCACATAGCTTGGGATGACAAGCGTGCACCCACTGGCCTATTTATTGCTTGGAACAAGTCTCTCTAACTCCACTCTCATCCACGCTGGCCCTGGGATCTTACTGATCTCAGCCTCCCAACCTGGTTTAAAAAGTTTTGTGTTCCTATTTTTTAAAGGAAGGGGTAAAACTAACTTTAATATTTATTTGTGGGTCTGTTCAAAAGTTACAAGTTTGCCTGAAGCATTTCCTCCTAACTCCTTGATATTTCTTGGCAGCCATTTTTTGGTCTGTGGTATCTCATGCCACCGCAGCTAGGGGGCGGTAAACTACAGTGGACTAATTAAGATAAACAGCTTAATGTTCACTTCAGCTTCTTACCTTATGTTACCTTATGTTCACTTCAACTCATCCTTTCTCCTGATATTTTTTAGGATATCTGCTATGTGAATAAAAAAGTCATTCTAAGTGAGATCACCACTTAGCTGGTTAACCATCAGAATCTCAGAATTCATGTTCATCTCAAAGACTATGTAGTTAGTAGGTAACTCAGGTAAAACTCCAGTTTTAGAACACTTAGATTTTGTTTATCAGAATTTTGAAAGTAAGATACCTCCTAGGAGATACTTCTAACAGTTCTGTTTGTTTATTTAAATATCAAAGCGTATATTTTTTTCTCGAATTTTTTTTCACAAGTACAGGAGTACAGCTTTTCTTTCCGGTTTTAATTTTTCTCCTTTATAGTTCTTGACTATTTATGACTTTCATCTTCTTCCATTCTTCTAGTCCATATTGATCCCCTTAGATTTTAACATTTATTTGTTATAACACAAATCATCATTATGTCATGATAAAGAAACGAAGCTCATCAGTTAATTAGGCTCTTTTAATTGACATACAATATTATTTATTCATACCAACAAAGAACATGATAACTGTTCTTAGAAATAAGTGAAGTTCTTGTTATTTCTCATGGGCTTTGCTATTGGGTTAAAACTAAGTGTCATCTACTTAAATCTTTTACAGTTGGGCCAGATTGCATATGTAGGCTCAGTGAAGTATTGGAAATGAATTAAGCAAAGATTGGCTCATTCTTAAATTTTTAAAGTTACAGAAGTATGTTTTTAAAATGTAGTATTAGAAAATTAGTATTAAAAGTTAGGAAAACAGAACCACCAAATAAAAAGAGCAAGGAGATAAAACCTCCGAAGTCTAAACAGAGTGTTAGGAGCTGATGTTTTTACCTCTAAATGAAGTTGGTATCTTGCTGTAACTCAGTCTTTTTCACTTATTAATACATTTGAATATTTTTCTATGGGAATTACTGCTTTTTATTGTAATTTTCTTTACTTTTAAGTTTTGTAACTGTGAAAACTTTTATCCTTGTGTGCCACTAGGAAGACATTACAGTCATAGAGCAATTATAACTTTGTGAATATGCCTCATCTCTTTATGTGTTTTTTTTTTTTTGAGGTACTGGGATTTGAATTCAGGGCCTTCACCTTGAGCCACTCCACCAGCCTTTTTTGTGATGGGTATTTTCGAGAGAGGGTCTCGTGAACTGTTTCCCTGGGCTGGCTTCTCCTTCAAACCATGACCCTCCTGATCTCTGCCTCCTGAGTAGCTAGGATTATAGGTGTGAGCCACCAGTGCCTGGCTGTATGTTGAATTTTGAGGAAGTTGTTAGATCCATTTACACGAAGTGTCCACTTTGTATGTAAAAGTGATTGAAGTGAGTAATACTATAAAATATTTGAAACTTTATGGGAAAAGAGTGGTATCAAGACCACTTTGTTTCAGATGAGGGGAATATGACATGTAGAATAGTCATGAACAAATGAAGGACACAAAGGGAGTATTTTAACTGATAGTCATACAATTGAGGATATTTTTCATTTAAGAGTCATTTTGTTATGGATAAAATAAATTTTAGAATCCTATTAGCACATGCAATATTAAACACAACAGCATCGTTATTTGTAACAACTTATTTTTATAGGGACATTTTGCTATTTTTTAATATGTTTTTTAGTTATGTTTTGGCATTCACTAAAACAACCATCTTAAATTTAAACGTATAAAGTATCCCCATAAAATGAGAATAATCCTGCAAGGATACATACACATTAGTTTTTTATAATATTACAATTAAAATTGCTATAAAATAGTGTGAGGGAGGATGAAAATACACTTATAGTCTGTCCCTGTCACTTGTATAAACTCTTGGACTCTTTTCTCAGGAGTTGTGTGTTGGCATAATGGCTCAGAGCCTGGACTCTGGATTATTTGTGTTTGAATGCCTGCATAGTCACTTGATAGTGGTATATGTTTGGTCAAGTTACTTAGCTGGTGATCATTGTCTGTTACTCACTGTAGTTTGGATTATGAGACTAAAGTTAGTCCTTATAGTAGCACACAGCTGTCAGTCTATAATCGTGACCATGGCTGCTGCTGTGCTGGCAACCATAGCTCATGCATCAAAATTAAAGCGTTTTAGCACTTTTAAGTAATTTTGTTCTCTGTGGCAATTAGTACTTGCTGATGTCTATCAAATATTAGTTTTTAAGTATACTTTTAGGTTGCAGTAATTATATTTTGTAGTTTTAATGTTTGGGTGGCCTAACTGGAAATAACAGAACATCAGAGTAGTGCAGATCACCTGTTCAATAAAATTTGTCTGGATTTTCATAGAAAACCTTGAATTGCATTATGAAGAGGTCAGTACTTTTAAGATTTGACTAGTAAGGTAGAGTTGTAAGGGTGCTGCCTTCTGGTCATGGTAGTCAGATCAGAGCACATCCTGAATGTGAGTTTATCTGTCCTTGTGACCACATGAGTGCTTCTGTCTGCCGGTGCAGTTACGGAGTTTTTGTTTGTTTTTGAGTCATGGTCTCAACGATCTGGAGGCTGAGTTCTTCTGCTTCAGCCACTGGAGTTCTCGGAGTACAGACCTGCCACCATGCCTGGCCAGTTAGAGGGATTTGGTGGAATCCTGACCTTGGATAAGTTTGTAGTCTGAAAAAGTATGGGAGCACATGAATTTATAGGTGCTCAGAACACTGTGAGAATGTAAGGGAAATGTAACTGCTTTCCAAGTAGGCAGACAATAAGTGTCAGGACATGTAAACTTCTATTAGGAACACTGCAAACCCTAGTAGTGCCAAGAGTAATGCCTTCCTAGTTTTTGTCCCATTTATTCAGTCTCTGACACTGGCAGCAAGTGTGATTAGTCCTGGGTGTGAAAACTGAATTTTTGTCCTTAAAGAGCTTATAGTCTTATAGAGGAGTTTACTAAATAAGCTGTAATTCTGATACAAAGCAGAATGTGCTATAAGTGATTTCACTTGTGGGATCCTGCAGAAGCATCAGTTTAAGCCTTCTCACAAAGGGCAGGGAGATGATGGAGAAGTCCAGAATCGATGAGCCTTGAGTTAGGAGCTAATAACCAGGTTGAAATAGAGTGAGTTTGAGTCACAGGAAGTAGCCTGTACAAAGACTTGTGGGGAGCAAATGAATTGTGGCAAAAGCTGGTGGTTCGGAGTTCAGAGTGTGAGTGAAGTAGTCAGGGGAGATTGAAAGGCTAGGGAGGTGGGTCATAGTGTGGAACACACTGGAGCAAGGAGGGGGAATTTGCTCGCTCTTTGGTAGATTTGAAGGAATTGCTTTCAGTTTTTGATCAAGAAAGAGCTATAA